AACCTCTGTCTCTACTTCCACACTCGGTACTCCGCACCTAGACCAGCACCACTACAGAGTTCCAGAGGCAAGCCTACCAAAGTTCACTGGGCTAGTGGAAATTGGCGTCCAGAGCATCCCAGATCCGCGTGCGGCACAGGATGCGGCACAACTAGACGACTGTGTTGCACTGCTGACAGAGACTGTGCAGCACTCTATACAAACAGCGGGCAAGCTTGATCGCAAGGAAGGACGTGCTGCGCCTTGGTGGACCAAGGAGTGCAAGACTGCCTACCAAGCCCACAAACGCGCTCAACAGACCTGCTCAGGCAGACCTCCGCTAGAAGAAACACGAGCCTTCAAGACTACAGTCAGACAGGCTAAAAGGCAATACTGGAGGCATGTCATTGACACTGCTAAGGACGACAAGGACCTGTTTAAGGTCATTGCCTGGCATAAGCTCACACCAGAGAACTAGGACACTCCGCTCAACATCAACAACAGGACAATATCTGACCCCCTAGAGAAGGCTGAGGCACTTAGACAGGAAGTCCTCAATCAATACACAGCAGATGACGATCTCAGCCACTACCTAGATGAGGAAACTGCGGCCCCTCTCCTGTGGAGTACACATATCTCACTAGAGGAGTCTGAGCGAAACACAATAGGGGTCACCAGCACCTCCCCAGGCACGGACCGCTCTACAGTGCGACTGCTCCGCGCCTGCTGGGCCCAAATTGGGGAACTCATACGACGGATCTTCCAGCGGTGCCTTGAACTCAACCACTTCCCTGCGCAATGGAAGCTGGCAGAAGTAGCCATGATCCCCAAGGTAGGGAAGAAGGACAGGACTTCGCCTTGATCCTGGAGGCCCATAGCACTCCTCTTCTGCATTGGAAAGGGTCTCGAACGAACAGTGGCCAGAAGAATCGCGTGGACTGCTATGACCTACAAGATCCTTAGCCCCTAACATGGAGGCGCCCTCCCAAAACGCTCTGCTGTAGATCTTACCGCAGCGTTCACCCACAATACCGAAGCTGCGTGGGCAAAAGGCCAGCATGTCACAATGGTTACCTTAGATGTGCAAGGCGCCTTCGACGCTCTCCTCAAGAACCGCCTGCTGCACCGGATGGCCGAACAGGGCTGGCCGCAAAGGACCATCCTCTTTGTCAACTCTTTCCTTACTGATCGAAGGGTCCAAGTCCGCCTAGGCCAAGCCACTACCCCTAGCTACCCAGTCGCCTGCGGCACACCGCAGGGATCACCACTCTCCCCAGTCCTGTACACACTGTACCTGGCAGAGCTGCTGTCTGCAGACACGAAAAGAAGATTCGGATACGCAGATGACATATGCTTGTATCAGGCCTCACACTCCCTAGATAAGAACGTCAAGCTCCTAGCAGCAGACCTACGACAGATCAGAGCATGGGGTACAGCTAACATGGTCACCTTTGCGCCTGAAAAACAGGAAATGATTCACCTCACTTGACAGAAGAGTAGCTACGCGCCACCCTGTGTGGTAGACAATCAGCTTACAATTAACCTAATCTTACCAAGCGGGTTAAGAACCCAGCTAGCTCTCTGATGGCTAGGGATCTGGTTCAACTGCAAACTTACCTTCAAGCAACATGTAGCCACACACAACGCGAAAGCGGCCAAGGTAGCCTATCACATCCGCAGCCTAGCAAACACGGCCTACGGGCCACCGGCCAGCTCCCTCCGCAAGGCCACCCTGGCCTGCGTGTACCCGTCCCTTCTGTATGGGGCCGAGTGCTGGTACAGAGGCCGTACTAAACCTCCACGCACACTCAAACCGGGCAGACCAGCCGAAGTCAGCACCTATGTCGGGTGGCACATAGCTGTCATGGACAAAACACTAGCTATAGCAGCGAGAGGCATCCTCCCAGTGTGGCGAACAACCCCTACTGCTACTCTCTTCCGAGACGCCGGACTACCCTCAGCTGCCACTGCGCTTGAAGAAGCCAAACTCCGCTTTGCGACCCATCTACGCACCATAGATGCGGAGCATCCACTGGCCAGCCGCACAGCAGCCATAAGGATGAGCATAGGC